AAAATCACAACGAAAAACAACCACGCCAAAGAGGAGTTTTATGTGCCAAGTCAAGCATTTTTAACATCGCTAATACAAATTTTCACAGCCATTTTCTAGCACATACAACAAAGGTGATGTAAGCCATAAAATGTCAGTGAATTCAATTTCTAAAAAAACTTATTGCAGATTTATTCAATCTGACTTTGAAAAGTTTTGCGTTGTGCTGAGGAATGTGGTCTGCATACACGTGCAAACTGATGCCGTTCCCTATATAATGTTGTCTCTATCGGATTCATTGCTAACGCCATTAAACGATGGCATACTCGATTGTATGGATCTCATACAAGAGGTATTTTATTGTATTTAGTTACATTTCAACTATAAGAAAATTATTTTATGACATTCTTATATAGGAAGCCATGGACGATACATGCAATAATAATCGCAAAAGTTTTTAGGGAACAACTGCGGGGGTAAATGCATCATTGAATTCGAATGTCTTCACTGGGCGCTTGGCGGTTACTGCTTTACTACATCGATTCCAAGAAGTTTTGAAGCGTTCCAATGACGAAGAACGGCTGATGGGCGCCGTGCAAGGGTCACAGTAGTTCATTCCGGGGTATTGATCGTAATTATCAGTGAAGTGCACGGCTTCCAAATGCGCATTAAGTCAATTCAAGAACCAGTTTGATAACAAAGAAGGATCATACCACAACATTACCGGCACCCTGACTATTATTAAATAAGTACCAAATAAGTAAAGACATATCCTCTACCCGATATTACTTACAGTGGTCCACGAAATAATAGGAATACGATATTTTAACACCTATTACTACACTTTTCGAAATTTAAAAAGTTAAATACGGCATTAATTGCAATTGTTTCCTGTAAATTTGTTGGGGAAAGAAAAACAACAAAAAAGCGAAAGTAATGCCTTAGTTAACTTATACTATTTCGAAAAATTTAGTACTAACTTGACACACGTAATAACATGGTTCTTTTGGGTCACAACAAAATTGTATTCAACTATCAATCATGATCAAAATAAATTTTTATATGGAAGAAAATGCACAACACCCCCTGCAAAATAAGTATTAAAAATCAACGGTTATTAAATAATTAATGGAAAAAATTTCCATGAAAATAATTGTGAATTTTATATTAGAACAAGGTGTACACTAACATTTGACACTGATTATATGTATTTCAGTTTCACCAGAGAATTTCTGTAGCCGATAAGGAAACTAATCAAATTAAAGTAAACTATTTAGCTCCAGTATAAACTGTTTTTATTAATTCCTCCTTGATAAAATAATTATATGTTAATTTATAAATAATAAATATGTACATTTTATGCTTTCATTTTATTTATTGCAAAAACTATATGGGTTACTAATGCTAATTTTTTATAAATCAAAATGAAATAATTCATTAATAAATAATTAATACGGTGATTTTTTTTTAAATATTTGAAATGTTTTTCATGCTATACATTTTTGTTATTTTTTTTTAATTATAGCTTATATTTTAACAAATACTATACAAATCCAAGTTTTATACTATGTACGTAATTTAGATATATTAGGCAAACTTTTAACAAAATTGCAAACTTTTTAATAAGAACTTCTAAAAAAAATTCTAGTATGTACTTTTATAGCCCATTTAATTTTATTATAATAACGTATATTTATTTCTTTATTTCAAGTAAACAATTTGTCAACAAAAACAAAATGTCTTACAGACTAATACAGAGATTTAACAAAAAATAATAATCTTAAAAAATACACAAACTGTAATGGAAAAACGTTAAAGATAAAAGATTTGAGAGCAATATCATAATCGATATCTTATTCAATGCTAACAACGTTACAAGAGAAACCAAACTACAAATTAGATCTATTACTATTACTTACTTATAGGCAAAATTAAGGAGTGTAATGAAAGCGTGCTTTGAGGAGGTAAAATCAATCTCAAAAGATTGATATATAGTATTGAGTTCTATCAGAGCCCCCGTGATGGGTTCATTCGCTGCATATGTAGTTCTTATGAAGCCAATGTTGTGTAAGTCAAAATTTCGAAGCACTCTAGCAGGAATGTTAAAATAGATGCACTCCAGAAGGGAGGGACAATCCACAACACCTCTAATGATATCAAAAACAAAGGATAAAGACAATAGATCTCCGAGATTGCAGGGATTTTAAATTAATAAGCAAGCACCTAGAGTAGTATGAGGTCATGAAAACGAAGGGGACGTAGTGCAAAGCCAAAGCCACGTTCAATTCGACTTATGTGACAAGCATGATAAGTAGAGTGGTCCAAAAAAATAAAGTCGGAGTTTTAATGCCGGCACACCCTAGGATTGCTCTATATCGAAAAAAATATACCCCAGTTATTTTATTTTGAAATCAAAAAATAGTTAGGGAGTGCTCAAAGCGCTCAAAGTTTTGCATGTATTTTATATAGCGAAAAAACATCTTTTCGTAGAAATAGTGTAGAATTCTTGAAAATCAATATTTTTCGATCGGAAAACTTTAGAACTTAGAAAATGCAATGGGGGGACCAATAAAATATCTTTTATCATAAAAAATGGTTAAATAAACAATTGGATATTAATACCGGAAGTCCCCTGAAGAGAACCACAGTTTTCCGGTCGAAAAATATTGATTTTCAAGAGTCTTATACCATTTCTACGTAAAATTGTTTTTTATCCATATAAAATACAAGGAAAACTTTGTGCGCTTTGAGCACTCCCTAAATATTTTTTGATAAAAAAATATGGGTATATTTTTTTCGGTATATAACAATCCTAGGGGGTGGCGGCATTAAAAATCTGACCTTATTTTCTTACATACATTTTTGGACCACTTTAGTGATAAGGTCTCCAAACGAAAGCAGCATATTCCAGTTTTGAACGAACAAAAGACGTGTAGAGCAACTTACGAGTATAAGGACTTGTAAATTCCGTACTGTTGCGCCTTACAAATGCTAACATAGCATAAGATTTCGAAATTATATAATTAATATGATTAGTAAAAGTAAATTTTACATTGAAAATCACTCCCAAGTCCAAAGTTTCATTAACCGATCTTAGACGACAACTGGAGATAAAGTAGGAGGTCTGCATAGGAGCAAAACACTTAGCGAAAGTAATGTGGTAGCATTTCGCTAAGTTTAAACACAACTGATTTTTAGTACACCAAGAGAGAACTTTTTCTAGCTCCGCTTGGAGCATTTGTGAGTCGAATGGGTTTCTTACTATCAAATAGATTTTAAGGTCGTCAGCATAAAGTAAAAAACTAGCGTAGATAAAAACAGCTTTGTATGTCATTGATAAACAAGACAAATAGCAGAGGACCCAAAATACTACCTTGGGGGACACGAGATGACGAAATAAATGAATACGAATTTGCATTGTCAACTACAACCACACACCTTCGACTCGAGAGATAGGACTTTAGCCAAAGAAGGAATATGGAATGAAAGCCCAGGCACGCTAACTTCTTAATTAGTATTGCATGCGAAACTCTATCAAAGGCCTTGGAGAAGTCCGTATAAACAACATCGACCTGAAAACCTTTCTGAAAAGCTGATAGGCAGTCTTCTGAGAAAACAGCCAAGTTTGAAACAGTAGATCTACCAGGGATGAAGCCATTCTGGTTAGGACAAATTAAGCTCTTAACCGCAAAAAACATCTTATCTTTAACAATACATTCAAACAGCTTAGAGGTAGTCGACAGCATGGAGATAGGTCTGTAATTACTCACATCATTTTTGTTTCCACTTTTAAAAACGAGTGTAACATACGCCACCTTCCAATCATCAATAAAATTGCCTGTAGATAATGATTTATTAAAGATGAACTTGAGAGGATAGGAAAGCGAAACGCATTTTTTAAACAACCGCCGAAAGACCGTCGGTATCTGTTTGTGAAGATATATTAAGTTTAGCGATACCTTTGGCAATATCATCCAAGGATAAAGAGATAGAGCCAAAGTCAACGGACGACTACACGTTCCCCTTAAATTCAAAATCACTATCAG